CTGCCCCATGGCATGGTGGATCCCCTGGCCAAGCTTCCCTGCCGCCTCCCCGCCCTGACCTATGGCATGGTGCACCCCCTGGCCCAATTTACCTGCCTCCTTCCCAGCCTGCCCCACAGCATGGTGGAACCCCTGGCCAATCCTCCCTGCTTCACTTCCTGCCTGGTTCACCCCATGATGTACCCCCTGGATCACTTTGTCTGTCTCCTTCCCAACCTGTCCAGCAGCGTTGTGGACCCCATGGGCAAGCTTCTCTGCTTCCTTTCCGGCTTGTCCAGCACCATTGTTGATCCCATGGGCTACCTTGTCCAAGCCGTTGTTGAGCCCCTGGACACCCTTGTCCAGCTCCTTGCCGCTCTGGCTCCCCACGTTGCCAAGTCCATTAAAAACTTTCTCCACTTCTCTTCCAGCTTGAGTGATTCCATTGTTGAGGCCTTCCAGGGCCTTGCCCACTTCTCTCTCTGCACTGGTCAGCCCTCGGTTGATCCCTTCAATGACCTTCTCCAGGGGGTCATCTTTGGCTGCCCACCCAGGCAGAGCCCCCAGCAGCAATAGAAGGCAGCAGGAGCTGACCACACTGGCAAGATGCATGTTGTTGGAAAGGTGGGGAGATGCAGAGAGGAGCCAGGGAATCAAAGCTGCTATTTATCCTCTGCTCCTGGGCTATCCCCACCCCTCATGACTCAATTACCCCTGTAAGGCACTGACTTGGTCCCTAGTCAGGGAGGTGTTTCCCAGGAAGATTTGGATTGAGCAATGAAGAGGAGGAGGAAGAGAGGGTGAGTCATGCATGGAGAAGACTCACATGGCACCTGAGCTCCTCAGCTCAGGCCTCCACCCCAGAGCCCAGATTTTCGGTCCTTCCAACCGCCGCCTCTTTTCATTCCTCACCCACTAGCCGGGCCCTCTGTCTGCCAGCCCCGCCTTCAGTCACCCTCCTTCCTTGAGATCCAGCTTGGGTCTTCAAGATCTTCATGCTACTCAAAAGATCTCAGGACCCAACTGACCCAGCAAGAAGATTCTAGAAAGATGGGAAGGGCCATCAGGAGAGGGGGGTCTCTGAGGCTGTCATCAGACCATGTTTTTACTGTTCTGTCTCTCTCTCTCAGTGCTCCAGACAGAGGGACACAGGTCTTCTCCCTGGGCTTCAAACATACCAACCTAGTTCCTGTCTCATGGCTTCTGCAGTTTGCAGTTTCTGTTCTCTCTCCCTGGGATGCAGAGCTCTGTCTTCACGTGGTTGGCTCCTTCTATTCTTGGCTCAAATGTCACCTTCTCAAAAAAAAAAAAAAAAAAACCAACAACATCCCTGGCCATCCCGCACTTACTCTTGGTGATATCATCCTTCTGATTTATAGCCTCCCCTGAATTGTCTTTTGATTGTCTGTCTCACCTACTAGGTCGTAAAATTTCCAGAGGACAGGGCCCATGTCTGTCTTGGTCACTGCGATGTCCCCAACTTCTAGAACATTGCCCGGGGCTCAGTGAATAGTTATAGATTGACCAAATGGGTGGGTCAGAAGAAGCCAAGGGAGAGGAGACCCCAGGCCCCAAGTCTCAGGGGTGCTGGTGGGGGAGGGTGTGAGGGTCCCCAGAGCAGCCCAGGGTGGCGAGGACTGTAGTTTGTTTGGGGAGCCAGGATCACACTCTCCTGGCAAACCTGGCCTCCTGCTCCCAGCCCTTGGGCAAGGGCAGGGGGCTGATTGCCATGAGCTGGGACAGACTCAGAGTCTCCTGAAAAGCCGGTTGTGGCAGCCTCGGGGAGGGGCCAGAGACCCAGGGCGGCAGGAGACTCAGTCAGCACCTGGGCTGGGGGCCAACAGCTTACCTCTGCCCTCCTCCCCCTGGAGCCTCCAGATCCCAACCTGGAGCCCCAAGCGAGGACACACTGGCCCAGGTTGGCGGGCAAACAGAGCACGTGGCCTGGACATCCAGGGGAGCTTGAGAGCAGCTCCGGGCAGTGGCTGGCTGGCCGGGGGAAGCACACCTATCCGGAGCCCAAGTAGACGGAGGCTGAGAACAGAACCAGAGTCAGTGGGTGGCTACAATTGGGTGCAAGGGTGAAAGATATTTGGGTTTTGGTGCCAAAGGGAGAGACATAGGGGGTGGAGAGGTGGGATCGCTGGTGGGAAGGCCAGGCGGAAGGAATGTGGTGCAGGGTGTGAGCAAGCGGAGGTGGCGAGGTATGTGTGTGGGTGTCCAGGTGTGGTGAGAATCTGCACGTGTTTTCGGGTTTTGCTCAAACAAAGGTGACAAGGCCCACTCCCCTTGGGGGGCCCAGGGTTCCACCCTAGATCCTGGACACTTGGCTCCACCCAGGCCCGAGACCAAGGAGCTTCTCCCTTCCCCAGTCTCTGCCTACAAAGGTGACTAAGTGTGCCACCTCTCCAAGCTTGAGCTCATAGAATCTGTTTCCCAGTTTCATGCTCCAGGAACACGGCCAAATGCCTGGGCAACCTCAGGTGTGGCTTTTCTACCCTTGTCCAGTACCTCAACGAGGGAGTTTCCCAGGCCAGGAGATTGCTGGGTGGGAAGGGGTGAATGGTGAGCTTCAGAATCCTAATCTGCCCCAAGACAGAGGTGAGGCTTCCTGATCCATCTTCTCTGTTCCTCTCCACCATCTCCCGCCAGGCCCAGCACCTTACTGCTCCATATGCCACTATTTGATGCAGGACTTTGGTATCTAGACCCACACTTGAGATAGGCCCGGAGTTGTCTGGCCTGGCCATCTTCTGCTGGTTTGGGGAATGAGGCTGTGTTTGGTTTTCTACTGTGGGTTCAGGTGGTTTCACTAGCCCAGGGTTCACAGGCCCCCCCAAAAGCACTCCAAGAGTGAAATGGGTGTCTTGGCAATCCCAGGGCCCAGAGCCTTACCCAGAGTCCAGTATATGGGACACCCCAGTTCTGGCTGGGATCTGCAAGCTTTCCTAGACACTGTCGAGTATTTGCTCCCTGTACCTCTACAGATGTTGTCCATCAGCCATTCGATCAAAGGCAGCCTCTGGGAGGCAAGGTTTTAATTCCTGTTTCTCCACTTGTTACTGGTCTACTCAGACTTGCCATTTTTTTTTTCTTTTTTGATGGTTTTGTTTTGCTTTTGGTTTTAATAGTGTAGAAGCCTATTCATTACATGGAAAGATGTTCACAGTATACAGTTAGTAGTGGGGGCAAGGTAAAAATGGTATTTACAGGTATATATTTTCAATATGATCTTTTTTTAGTTTCTTTTTTTAAGATTTATTTATTTATGCCTACAGAAGTAGGGTACAGGCCAGAGGCTCAGGGGCGGTGAGAAGCTTCACCAGAGACAGAGTGGGGAGCAGAACAGGCAGATGGGCAAAATACACTGCTGAGGGGAGCAGCAGGGAGGCAGGAGAGGTCTGCCGCGCCATGTGGGTCAGCTCCCGGGCAGGGATCGAACTCATGATGAAGTGGCTTTAGCTTCTTAGTGCTGCGCTTTAACCTGCTGCGCCACCAGAGAGGGCCCTGTTTAAGTTTCTTAATCACTTAAAAATCTCAAAGCATATCAGTTTCAGAATCCTTAAAACACACTTAATACATGCACTTCAACTGAGACTAGGAAAATACAGCCAGAGCCCCCCAAATCCTAGGAAGGCTTTATGGATCATGTCGCTCCCAAGAATCACCAACATATAGGTAAGGCAGCAGTTTCTCTCCTCACTTTCCTGTACTGTGTTGATAAAGCGGCAGTTCTGGGTCTGAATTTCTCCACTTTGTTTATTCTGTTAGCTGACGCAAATGCAGAAAGTAAGCCACCTGGGTCAGTCTATCTGTCCTTTTCCTCCCAAGAACTGACACCCTTCTACACATTGTATACATGTACATTGTATACATGCATGACATTGTAAGGAGCCATTATTTTCTCCTTGCAAATTATACCTGAAATTTTTTACCACTTATGATTTGCATCCACTTGATCCTTTATCTTTTAATTATTTTTATTTATTTATTTATGCATACAAGAACTGGGGTATAGGTCAAAGGTGTGGGGGAGTGAGGGGTTTCACCAGACACAGAGTGGGGAACAGAATAGGCAGATGTACTGAAACACACTGCTGAGGAGAGCAGTGGGCTGGGCAGGAGAGGTCTGCTGTGCCATGTGGGTCAGCTCCCTGGCCAGGGGTCGAACTCATGTGCAGTGGCTGTGGGCAGCTTCATGGTGCTGCGCTTTAACCTGGTGCACCACCCTGAGGGCCTAGCTTTTCCTGTTGTAAAGTTGTACAGAAATAGTCCTTTTGCAGCCCTGGCTGTGTCCTGCCCACCTCCCACTTTATCGAACATGTAAGTATGCCTGCTTTGTTTAATGAATCACCTGGCTGGGGTCCTACCTGTCCTGGGCCATCCGGGACAGGTGCTGAGCCCATCGGGTCCCATGGAGATCCGAAAGAGGTAGTGTGTTCTGTCCCTTCGTGCTTCCACACCTCTCCCTGGGATGGTGACAAACCCCCACACCCCTAAATCTTGGTCACAGCTGTGTGTCAGCTGCCCCTGCGGGTGAAGGTGCCTGTGAGTCAGATGTACCAGCAAACCCCCACCCCCCAGGGCTTTAGGCAAGGGAAGCCCTCTGTCCATTCATTCTTCCCCATTTATTGCAAGCCTGCTATGTGCCAGGCATAATTCTAGGTGCTGAAGGCCCAGGGGTGAACAAAACAGGTAAGAATACATGACCTGCTGGGTGGGGGGGGACTGTGAGGAGGGGGGAGTGTTATAACTTAATGGGGAAAGACAAGAAGCAATTCAATTAACTGATAAGATTATAACATACTACATGGAAAGCCTCAAAGAAATAAGTGGGGTGCTGCGGAGACTTGGAGGGGCTTTAAGTTTGGGGTTCAAAAGAAACCTGAGGGAGTGACAATTGTTTATTCAGTCTCATATTTTTGATTGGGCCAGCATCTTTTAAATGCCACTCAGTCTTCCAGCCAATGGCTGTACAGGTAACAACAGGAGACAGCACTCGGCCTGCCCCGAGCTTCTAGACCAGTGGGCAGAGATGACCAGTTAGAAAAATGAACCCACGGGATAATTTTTAGAGCTAGAAATCTGGGGTGGGGGTGGGGAGGATTAAAATATAGAGAAGTGTAACACTGAGGGAGCTTTGCACATTGGAACTCCAACCAGGGCGTGAGGTTGGATCAGGCTTCCTGGATGTAGGTAGACTGAGACACAACAGCGATGGCAGGAGATGACTGAGAAAGGAGGGAGCCTGAGAGGAGGAGTCAGGAAGGCCTCTCTCAGGGTGGCACCTGAAGAAACCAAAGAGCAGCCTAGGAAAGATGTGGGCAGGATTTCCCCAGCATAAGGGTCTCTACTGGAAGGAGATCAGGGAACAGCAGGGAGCAGGGTGCCCAGGGAGGGAGAGCAGGGCCAGCACATGGCCTTGGACCCAATGTGCAGGGCTGGTGAACCTCACACAGCTCCACCCTGCTGCGGCCTTCTGACGCGCTGTAGCGTCACAGAGCCCTGTGACGTCACAGTGCCCCTTGACAACACAGCTAGAAGCTGGTGCCGCTAGTCCACCAGTGGGCCCACTAACATCACATCACTGCAGGACCAGGGCCACTAGGCCATGAAACCTTAGGGAGCCATGCCGAAACGGGACGTCGTGCTCACAAATGTCACAATTGTCCAGCTACTCCGAGAGCCATGCCCCGGTGAGGGGGGCCGTAAAGGGACCCGGGAGGGGGACACAGCGCGTGAAGTGACTCCAGAGAGGGGAGAAGGGCGGCCTGGGGGCACCCCCTCCCTGGCACAGGGAGCTCTTCTGGTGCCCTTCAGCAAGCTCTTGCCTCCTGGTGTTCAAAGCCGTGACTGGAGGCGCGGGGTGGGGGTGGCGGCCCAGCCCTTCCATCCCCAGATCCCGGATCCCGGAGCCGCCTCGCTGCTTTCCGCCCTCCCGCCTGCTCCTCCACCCGTTTGGCTAGCAGAATGGTTTCTGTGCGGATGGTGCCGGAAACGCGGGTCTCCCGTGGGTGGAAGGGTGGGCGCAAGGCCACGAGGCTGGCACCAGAGGGTGGCGAGGAGCGCGCGGCCCGCACACATTTCTAAGGAGAGCTAGAACGTCAAAAAGCTGGGTTTCGCATGAAAGGGATGCTTGTGTGGACCAGGTCAAACAGATCATTTTGGGGGTGGTGGACTCTGACCTTCCTGCATTGCACAAAACGAGGACACTTGCAACCCGCAGGGGCCACGCCAGTCGCTTTACAGGCGCGCCCTCGCACAGCCTCATAAGGTCAGCGCAGCCGGTGTGTCTCTCGTCCCCATTTTACAGAGCGACCGACCGAGATAAGGGAGCGCAAACCACTGCCCGAAGTCTCAGGGCAATCCCAGCGGAGCGATTCCCCCGCCTCCGCCGCGCAGGGCTGGGGCGCGGTGGGCGGGGCTGGCGGGCGTGTGGGCGGGGCTGGCGGGCGTGTGGGCGGGGCTTAGGTCTGGCCGCAGGGTCCCGAGGCCCTGGGATTCCAAAGCGCGCACAGGCTAGTAACTGGGAGACTTGAACCCTTCCCTGCGCGTCATCGCTCTGTGACGTCGGGCCTCGGTTTCCCCTCCGCAAAGTGGGTTTACAGCTCATGTGTCATGGGATTCTGTGAACTGATGCATGTGAAGAGCTCGTCCCAGCACCCAGCCCATGGTGGCACCCAGGAAATGGGTGTCGTCGTAATTGGGAGCGAAGGCACCTGTGTGCTTGTTTCCCCTCCCAGGTGATGCTTCATCACTGAAGCGCCTCTGGGTTTTCCTTCCCGACCTGTGCTTTGCTCCAGTCTATGTATTCTGCCCCTAAAGTGGGGCAGAGGAGAGAGGGAACCTGGGGAACCCGGGAGAGGAGGACCACCTGAGCTTTGACAGGCCAGCCAGAGGCAGTCTCAATCCAGATGGATAAAGCTCCCCCTTTTGTGACAGTAGAAACAGAACCCCCAGGAACATAAATAGCCTTAGAGTCACCGGTAACCACTGGGTCACTAGCACCCATTAATGCTGACTAACCCTCATGAACTTGCACTGTGGCTAGAGACACCCACAGCCCCAGCTGAGAGCCTGGGGCCAAAAAGTCTGTGGCAGAATGGAGACGTCAAGGAGACTGCCGGGCCAGCTGACCCCCATCTCCTAGCCCCTCTTCCACCAACACATGCCTTTGATCCTGGAGCCAAAAGCAACTCACACCTTCATCTCCCAGCCTCTGTCCAACCCTCCTCTTGTCCTTCCTGGCAAATACTCTTCCTCCCCAGAGTTAAAAGCAGCACCCACTAATGGGCTGAGAGTTCTCACTGCATCCTCAAAGCTGCCCAAGGTGGAGGGAGGGCCAGGACGTAAGCAGGAAGGTTCGGCCCAGCAGCACGTAGGTAACAGGACCGGAACCCCAGCTTCAACCCTCACTGCTTGTCCCCCTGGCATCCACCCTCCGCCTCTTCCTGTCCCCCTGTAATTCAGAGTCATGCCTAGCACTGGGGTGTTAAATGCTTATCATCAGGACAGTTTGCCGAGCACTGAGATCAATTACCAACAAGTTCAGAAAATGATCTTTGACCCACAAAGGTATACCTGAAAGGTGTCTCAAAGGTGTGTGGAGTTTCTCAACATCTATATTTGCACTGCATAAGGACCTCAGGTACTTGTCACAGGGATCCTCTGAGGCAAGTACCGCTGTCTCGATTTTACCGAGGAGGAGACTGAGGCACAGTGACCCTCGCCCCCAGCATTGTTAAAAATGCAGACTCCCCGAATTAGAATCTCCAGGGAGGGGCCTGGTGTTGACACATCAGAGCAAGTCCAACCTGGCCATTGCGTGGACCAGGCAGGGCTAGGAGTGGCCTCCAGGAGCCAG